ATCAGAGGCGGAGGTGGTGTAGTGACAAGTGGCGCGCTTACCACGCGCCGGGTTCAAATCCCGGGTCGACTCCCGCCCAGGCCAACCAAGCCTTCTACCCTCCGGGGACGGTAAATTGGTACCAGATTCGTCTGGGAGGATAAAACACTGACTTGTACATCGGCTGGCCACCGCAAGTCATTGTATAGGCCACATCGCATTCACATTCATTCACATCCCACAAAGCGATTGATTAACGGCAATGACTTTATCCTTTACTCTTTATCCCCTAGTCAGTCTTGAACTAGCTCAGTAGACTCAAAGCACATTCTGCAGGATGTGCATGGGCGGGCACTCACAGCCATTGTGCCTTTTTCGTTGGCGCGCCTTTACTTCTATTGAGGTAAAGATGGCGGACGCGCCAATGAGGGAAGCACAATGGTTGTGGAATAAGCCTTCATTAAGACTTACAGAAACAGCACTTGGAGCTCCCCGCTTCACTTAGAAGAAGGCCCTTACTTCCCAATTGTCCCATTATTATGGTGAGCAAAAAATATTCACTCACTTGAATAGAGAAATGTCGTTTTCTCCGGTTTCCTGAAGAACGTGAGCGAAGAAAGCAGCAACATCTCGTCTTTGGTGTTGCGCGGGTTCGTATGCCTGAAAGGTTTCAGATGACTGATAAGCTAATGGGGATCATTTCCATAGTAGACTTAGGTAAACAAGTTAATTTAACAAGGTAAACAAGTAGTGCGGAGCCACATATACAATGGTGCGATAACTCGTTGGCATAAATTATTCTACAATCAGCCGGCCTTGCGATTTCATGGTAGGAAATGAGCATAAATAGAATCGCCCGGAGTTGCTTCGGCACAACTAGCCTACCCATTTTCTTTGCCAGATCACGGAGCAGAAGAATTTAGTACTAGGATCAAAAAGTTTGATCCGGGCGTTACTGCGCAAAAAAGTTCGGGTGACGGGCGTTACTTGCGAAAACTACGCCGGCGCGAACGCGCTGACAGCGTCCAGCGATTTCCTTTTCTTCACAATCTCATACGAAAGACGCGATGAACAGTTGCCTGGGATGATGAACTATTGCGGTCACACTTCTCTATGGAACTACGGCCCCAAACGTCAGCGCCCTCCCCCCCCCCTTACTCACCTTGCTTGAACCTTCGCCACCAAATTCCGGAAAGTATCGGGCCGCTATGATAAACGATTTGTATGAGTACGGTAGACAGTCATCAGGTCCGAATCCGAGATTTGCTTTCGGGAACAGGTCCTAGATAAATAATCATATCAAATGCAAAATTGGGTTGCAGTCACAATCAAAACAATGAAAAATTATTCGAGCATGAATTAATAACGCCAGTCAAAGGAAGAAGCCATAAAATTACATTGAACATTTTTTCTGTGAACCATTTCTCTATTGGTGACTTTTTCAGGTTGTTCGGATCCTTGGCGACCTCACAACCATCGTCGACCTCTTTAGCGAAAACGGAATGTGGAGGGCAGAAGTCTGGTGGCGAAGCTGAACAGTGGTTGTGTAAGGATGTGCAAGAAGAAAATATAAATAGTTAACAAATAATTATTTGAATATCAATGAATAAAACTTGAATAAAACTTTTAGAAAATTAACAGGGAAATGCAGTACTACTTGAGTTGATTCCTACTCGAGATAGAAAGACAAACCGTGGGATCCCGATAAAAGCAGGTGAAAGAGAAGAGTGACCGCAAACATTGTAGAGCGACGACGAGTTTGGACAAACAGCAGCATGGACCTCACCCACTTTATAAGTCGAAGAACGACAATGGTCGGACGAACTGAGCTCGCGACCAAACCGATGGGGAAAAGCAAACAAATTTTCGAATCACAAGAGGACTTATGGCTCGCACTGATTTACAGAAAGGCAGTAACCAGCCGATTTGTGGAGGTAACATGGCAATTGTACTCTCCATAAGATCGACCCACACTGAAACCACGCTAGTGGTTCACCCTTCAGAGAATATTGCGAGGGGTAGCGGGAGGTAATGTCGTTTTTGCTGCAGAAGATTGAAACAGATAGGTTTTTCTATTTGTACTTGCACGTCGCTCTTAAGCACGGGTGGGAGTTGCGCCACGGCCACACTAGCTTAAAGGCAGTTGGCACGATAAATCCCCCAAGACGACTAGGATCAATACTCCTGGCAGGATAGAATTCCGCGACCCTGGGCAGGCGCTGCATAGCGGTTTCCCGCTTATAAGGGCCCTATAAGGGCCATCAAGCCACAACTTTACGTCCCAAACGCCCGCCACGCCCGCCCGCCCACAAATGGACGACCGTTCCTGACGCTCGTATTCATTCATTTGCTAAGCAAATTATGAAGCGAAGGGATTGGTATGAAGCGGCCGTGATGCTGCATGCATACATGGGTACACATATGCAGCCGTATCTTCGGTAGCGGTGATTGGTAAGATGCCTACGGGAAACTCGTCCGAAATCGATTTACAAGTCACTGAGAACGGAGGCTTTTCTTCGCAGGATTTTGACCGTTTCACTCCGTTCTTTCGCCATTTCCCACTATACAGCGCCCTACTAGCATTTTAGGCTAAGTAGGAAACCATCGTGCCAACTGCCTTCAAGAACGGTGAACTAGTACCAGGTTTGTGTGGGAGGACAAAAACAATGACTTATACATAGGATGTCGCTTTCAAATCATTGTCCTCGTTGGGAGAGTCACAAAAGAGGCCTGATACTAGTAAATTGAAGGCATAAAAAATCCATTCAAAGGGGCACGAGATGAAGCTAAACTCCAGGGCACGAGATGAAGCTAAACAATCATTAGCTTTCAACCCTTGCCCACCTCATTATGCAGCTTGAAAAGTAATATTTTAGTACGAAAAGTGGTTAGGGACTAATGTCATACTCATGAGGAAGTTCCAGTGACAATGAGCAACTGGATTATTCGGGATTAGAAGAACTTTGATGGCAACAAATAACCGTGGCTATTTTGGAGTGGGCCAAACCAGTTGCTATTTTGATCTGAATAGGAACCTCGAGCGCGAGACCCAGGCCCAAGTAACCAGTTGGATAAAAGGACCGGTACATGTTGACCGTTTTCAGTGGGGTTTGTATATTCGATTTGTCATAAGAGAAAATAGGGATGTTGACAGATGCCCGCTTCTGGGTGAGAAGCGCTTGCCAGAACATGATTTATGGCGATATCATTTCTCATACCCTCTTGCCATCCAGTGGAAAAATGTTCCGACAGAAATTAACAGGTTCCTTCGGAGTAACTGCCTTGCGGGATTTCAGATATCAACCGAGTCTTCTAGTTTTCTGCGACTTAAATGCTGTTGTAATGTTCGGAATGTAAGTGACGATCTGAAAGAGAAGTGAAGGATAAAGGATATAGTCTTTGCCAATAATCAACCATTCGTGGAATGCTGCACCCATTCTACTTCCTTTCAGAATTAGTGGCTTACAGAGTGCCATGTGGCGTATACAATGGATTGTGAAACAAAAGTCAGCTTTTTTATCCTCCCAGACAAAACTGGTACCAATTAAGCACGTAAGAGAGGGTAGAATGCTTGGTTGGCCTTTGTGGGAGCCGGTTTGGCCTGGACCGTGCGCGTGGTAAGCGTGCCACTTTCCACTACACCTCCGCTGCGGAAGAGAAATATTGGTGAGTACGGTCGGTGGGGCAGTATCTTCATCCGAATTTTTCAGAGTTCGTCTAGCGCAATGCGGTCCTGCCCTCGTTCACAAGGTGTCCAGGTTTCGGCACTTCAGAATGAAAGGGTCCGCGAGATTCACTGAACACACAAAACGCCTGTTTTGGGTAGGAACTAGGTTTCATCACACTTCTTGGCGATTTTTTTTGGAAAAAAGCTGCTATCCGTTGTCACGAAAATGCTGATTTGTGAGCAAACATCTTGAGCCCCGAGCGGAACTGGAGCCAGCATCTTCCGTTAGTCGGGCAACGACGTCACGGATAGGGCACTTGCCTTGTAAGCGTGATATGCAAATTCGAGTCTCCACCTGGGGTCAAGACTTTGCTCATAACTCAACATTCGTGTTGGTAACTTTCCAAACGCGAACTTGCTGCATTGAATAGCGGTTATCGTAGAGAAAAGCAACTGCCATCTACCGTTTGGTGTTTGATTCGAGAACTTATTCCTTATCTCCTGAGATCAAGCGGTCTCGAAAAGATTCTAGTTGTGCCACTGAAGTCGGTTAGTTTTGTCTTCTTCGGACAGATCATGCATGCCGCAAACACCTGCACTGCTCAGTTAAAGATACTTTCCGCGATGAAGATCAGCGAAATTCCTCCATGTATTTGGCATCGTTGTCCGCACTCGCGGTGAATATACCACTTTCATCACTTGAAATGGCGAGATAACGAAGCTAGAGACGCGTGAGTTTTGCAACCGGTGCAACCGCGTACTGTAACTCTGCAAGACAACGGCTTACAAGCGGAATTGCGTGTGTACATAGCGTTGCCTGGAGCGTCGTAGGGCGATTCCCTTGTCTGAGGCTGTCTGACGGGCTTGTCCTGA